CTTGTCACTGTTGTAACTATTAAGAGCTTGCCTTGAAATCTCTCAAGATAATCTTCAACTAAACTGATTCTGAAACTTACACAGAATAATTGGCAAATTTCAAAGTTTGCTCTAACAAGTTTTCAGATTTTTTGGTATCTTATCAATTGAAGGTTAGACAAGGAGAACACTACTAACCTTAAGTGCTAGAACTACTTACAAAGCAACATTGGAATCTCATGATGAATTCACATTTTATCAGACAATGACATTTTAGGCCAAGATGAGAAAATGCATGGACAGATTCAGGCGGGCTTTACCGGGTATTGAATTAAGCATATAAATGTATATATACTCTAATAGTATATGTGCTGGTACATTTCAATCAGATAAAATATGAATAGGTATGTTGTTGTAGACATTATAACCCAGTTAATCAATAAGACATATGTAAAAAGTGTAAAATATAAGAAAGTAGGTACAGAGGAAGCCTTATCTTGAGATCTACACCCCAACGACCAAATAAAAAAATAAAGTATTAGTCAGAAAGCAAGTATTAGCAACCAACATTTTATGGAATTCTACTAAGCACTTTTCATATACTAATTGATTATATCTTCAAAAATTACCATATGAGGTAGAAACTATTGTTATCTTAATTTTGTAAATAAGGAAACAGAGACAGAGGAGATATTTAGAGCCAGGAATTCCATGCATCAGACTTTAGGAAAGTGACTGTTCTAGAATGTTGCGTAAAGCCCTTGACTCCTAATCCCTTGCCTAAATGCTCTTTAGTTATATAAACTGGATTGTATGTGATGAATGTTAGAAAAGCCACATTCAACCAAGCAGCAGAAGCTGGATTCTGACAATTCATTTGGGTTGATGATAAAATTAATACTTAATAATCCAAATGTACAGAAATTCCAAGGCAGTCTGCATCCTTCTCACAGGCCTAGGCCTTGGGGAATTGACCAGGGCAGAGAGACATTTCTCCTCAGTGGACGACAGCAGAAGGGGGTCAGGCCCAGCTGAAGGCCAGCCCTGGGAAGAGGCTTGATCTCAGGACAACACTGCACAAGTCCTCTGCTCTGATGAAAGGGTCTGAAAACAATCACCAATGCCTTTGCAGCTCTGAAGAAATTATAAGAAAGGTAAAATAAAATGGTGTGAAAGACCCAAGATGAAACAGGTTATGCATTTTACAGAAAGCATCAGAACAGCCATGAGACTAAAAATAAATGTGTTGCCATTTGCTAAAAGAATGTAAAAGGAGACGCTAGGATTAAAACTCAAATCTCAACACTGAGCCCTCGCATTGAATAGCAAAGAGACAGTGACTTAGTTTCCCTCCTGCCCCTTAATGTGGTTGCATCCCTGTTGACCAGGACCTCAGGGATCCCTGTGAACTAGGGATCCTTCATATCTTTATACTTATTTTGCAATACTTTTATAGTATAGCAGATCCTCGAATAGTAGCATTTCATTCCATGTTGTTCTGTTACAATACTGATAAGATGCCCTAGGAACTTAACTCTTGGGTATATCCATTAGCCTGTGGTAAAATTGGTTTCATTATGTTTTGTTTCTCTTAGTCACAAAACCTATTGATGACATTAAAGGAGGACTTGCTGTGCTCACATTCTGCTAGGTTCTATCTAAGCACTTTACAGACAGTAATTTATTTAATCACCAAGACAGCATCATGAGATAGACATGAACATTATCACCTGCATTTACAGACATAGAAGCTGAGGCACAAAGACGCAAAGTAATTAGTGCAAGGTCATGGAACTAGCAAATGGAGCTCAACTCAGATGGGCTAGCTCTAAACTCCTCATTTTTTAAAATCCTCACTTAAGGTTATGCTTATTGATTTTAGTGAAACAGATAATGAATGTGAGAGAGAGAGAGAGTGTGTGTGTGTGTGTGTGTGTGTGTGTGAGAGAGAGTGAGAGAGAGAGAGAGAGAGAGAGGGAGAGAGAGAGAGAGAGAGAAAAGATTGATGTGAGAGAGAAACATTGATCTGTTGCCTCCCATACGTGCCCTGACCAGGAATCAAACCTACAACCTTGGTATGTGCCCCCCATACCAAGGGATTCCCCAACTGGGAATCAGACCCACGACCTTTTTGGTGTATGAGATAATGTTCCAACCAACTGAGGCACCCCGCCAGAGCTAAACTTTTCATTTTTAACCATCATGTTATGTAAAGAGGATTTGGGGGAGTAGGAATTTGGGCAATACATTCATGTTGGTTTTCACATACTTCTGAAATGTCACCAGAGACTGCAAAATTTTCAAAAGAAAATAGCAAATTCTCAATGGGCTCTTATTTGAGAATGGTGAAATGAAATGGTCCATAAAATGAATATCATAGTTTTTTTAGTCTTAAATTGCTAAGTGGTTTTTTCTTAATATATGCACATACACAAACATATATAGAATAGCATATATAATCTATAGTAACATATAAACAAACAAAATAAACTGTGAATGATTTCTTCAACTGCAAAATTTGTTTAGGAGTAGAGAAAAAGGAGCAACACCCAAGACCCCAGCTGTCTGCTTACCCCTTCCTGGGACTGGCTGATCCACTTGCAAAGCTCTCATTAGCAGGGTGACAGCAGTGGTCACATGGCCACAGGGGGAGGAAGCAACATCACCCAGGTGCACAAAGCCTTGTAACCATGGACAGTATAAACTGACGGGAAGAATGGAGTTGAAAATCTAAAGCAGGGGCATCAATCTCAATTTCACTGGGGGCCACATCAGCCTTGCAGTTGCCTTCAAAGGGCTGAAATAATTTAGGACTATATAAATGTAACTACCCCTTAAGAGTTAAGGAGTTGAAATTACATCCAGCCCTTTGAAGGCAATCACAAGGCTGATGTGGCCCCCGGGTGAAAATGAGTTTGACGCCCCTGGTCTAAAGCTATTCTAATAGGAAAAGATGAGCTTTTAAAAGATAGTCTAATTCACAATCAAGAGGATCATTGCTTCAATATTGTTTTGTCCTCCTAGTTTGTATTCTTATGTACTATATAGTTAGCAGCTGGCAACTCCTTTAAACCATTCAGAGACATTCAAAATGTTTGCTGGAAAACTGTATTTCCTCCAGATGAGATGGCAAAGTCTTTTTTCACTTGGGCCTCAGTTTGAAGAAATAAGATCAGAAAGGTCCAGGCAGCCAGCAGGTCTTATAGAAATTTTTGCAGTGTATTTAGAGAAAGGCTGTTTGACCACTTAATCATAAGTAGGTGTCTGTCATACAAACACATGGGCTCATTCATTGCATATTTCTTAAGTGCCTACTGTTTGCCAGCACCGCAGACACAGGTTCCTACCTTCATAGAACCTGTGGCCTAATGGGGGAGACCGACGGTCAAATAATCAAGGTAGTGGGAGGATAACTCCAAATTGGGATGAATGATCTAAAGAAAACTGCAGTTTTGAGGGTGTGTACATTAAGGAGTGGGCCTAGACCTTAGGAAGCCTGTATGGATGTTCTAAGCAGCACAAGAGGAACATTCCAAACAAAGGAAAACAAAAATAAAGTACAAGTGTATGTGGGCAACTATGAAAGCTCTGTGGTTGGGTGAGCCCAGCATCTTCAAGACCTGCAGAAGTGCCCCTACAGATAGTGCTCTGGGGAGGAAGATCGAGGGACAGTGATGGAGAATGAGTCTGCAGAAGAAGACAGGGGGCAGACCACAGGGGGCTTTGTTTAATCCATTAACAATAGGGATTTTATCCTCAGATCAATGCAAGACATAGTTTCGGAAAACCATTACCAATACATTCTCAACCAACTAGGCTTCCCACTGTCATGGAAGGTCAATATAGGTAGTCACTTGTTTAAAATATATATTTTAAATTTATTTATCTACCTACCTATTTGTTTATTTCTATCCTTATTGAGGTGTGGTTGACAAAAATTTTATCCATTTAGGTTATATAATGACTTGTTATTAATATATACAATGCAATGACTTCATATTCATTGTAAAATAACTACTATAATCAAACTAATTAACACATCCATCAATTTGCATTCAATCTAGCCTTTACAAATTGTATAAAACACAAGTATACCAAAATGTATTGCAGGGTATGATTCTAAATCATGAGAGGAAACTTCATAAACACAGCTAGACCAAGACAAGTTGCCTGTAGTTTTCCTCTGACTGATCTGACATTTCCCTTCACTCTTCAACCTTCATCTTTGCAAATGTAGGCAAGACAGGGATTTAGTGCATTAAACAGTGAGTAGTTGCTCTACTGATTTCTCAAGGAAGCAAAAGGAGACAAGGACAGCTATGGGCACCATCCAAACAAGAAATAACCACAAATGCCAGAAGGATATTTTGCACCTCATTAGCAATTTGACAATGTAAAGATACTGAACAAGACAACCTCCCTAGTTCTTGGTCCCTTGTCATTGGTGTTTTTAAAATCAGAATTAAGCAAGAAGGGCTTACTTTTCAGGGAAACTCAACTTACTACTTTGTAGGTATGGTAAAGGTGAAGGCTTTTGAAAAATTATACAAGAGACATAATGACTTTTCAAATAAGGCCCCAGAGTCTCTGTGTATCAAAAGGTAATACAGTATTAATCATTTTGTATAGGTATGGAGGGTAAAAAAATTTTCCTTACTCAAGGTTACAAACTTCTATGATCTTCACATTTTTGTATTCAATTGCCATTATGATTAGAGATACCTCATATCTGATTCTAGGTCCACCCTGAATTTCTGTGTAGGAGACTTCTCCAGGATAAGCATGTACATGGGTTTTCCCAGGGGCATTCAAACAATAAATATATGCACAAACTCTCCAATAATTGCTCAGAATCATTTTGTCTTGCTTTCTTTTCTTTTTTTTTTTCTTTTATCAGAAACCCCTAGAGATTGCTATGCTTTCTCTCCTAGCCGTAGTCATTCTTTATATCATGTTAAGCATTCAGATTTCCTCTGCGGTCATTTTATTTGTAATAGTGTCTTGTGTGTTGTGTCTCCTAGCTCTACATACAAACTACCACACTTACAATCTCCATGAACTTAAGTGCATCAGTGGCGCTGGGGATGCTATACATGCCGAAAGTGTACATCATCATTTTCCACCCTGAACTCAATGTCCAGAAGCGGAAGCGAAGTTTCAAGGCAGTAGTCACAGCAGCCACCATGTCATCACGGCTGTCACACAAACCTAGTGACAGACCCAACGGCGAGGCAAAGACAGAACTCTGTGAAAACGTAGACCCAAACAGTAAGTAATTTTCCTTTCTTTCATCTTCCCACCCTGCATCAGAAGCTCTCAGAAACATGGTGTGTGCTTGCCTTTCTTTGAAGAAATACTGTAACCATTCTTGGGTTGGGTACAACTGACTGGGTTGCCTAGATGAATGACATTTGTGCTGAAGAGTTCTGCCTTATTCTTGCCACCATTTTTTTTTTTGCACTCTTAGAAGAAGCTTTCAGAGGCACTGCTTCAGAAATGAGAAACCTCCCTTGTTCCTTCTCCTTTAGTACCAAACCCTCCAACTGACATAAACACCTTTGTTTCCCCCTTCCTGTTAGGAAGACAACTTCTTAAGAAAACTTCAACACCTTATTGAACTTCAGCAGTAGAAATGAACTTAGAATATTTAAGAATTTTAGATCATAACTTCTTTCCCCTGGAACATAGGTATAAAGAAAGTTATGATTCTTTACTAAGCGAGGCTTCCAGAATAAAAAACATTGGCAACTTTTTATCCAAGCATACAGGCCCAGTCACCATTGGTAATGGCATCCCCATGGGGAAAGACATCTACCACGGCACTACAGAAGTGTTCCATTAATGAAAAACTAACTATTAAGGGTGGAATTATGAATTAAATGCCAGATTCAATATTCTACCTGGCATATCTGTAACCTCAGGGCAGCCTTTGTTCAACCCTGCAAATAATTCCAAAGAAGATGGGCATAAAAAATTTATCCAGAGGTTAACTGCATAGATCACTAATGTTATTAACACTGGCAGGAGAGTAAATCTCAGATTAAAAATTAGACTTATAGGATTTGTTTTCTAGAAATTTTTTATTAGTTCCATATAGAAAAGTAGATACAAATATTCATGAAACTTCCTGATTCTAAAGTGGAGGGGGATTCTAGTTTGCCAGTAAGTTACTCATGACATACTACTTTTCAGATATGAGCCAATTTTGTTGTAGCCAAAAGTTTATTGCTAAGCAAAAAGAGTTCTTATTCTAAACACTCTGAAGTAATCCTTTATGCTCTGCAGTAAGAAAAAGATCTTTGAAAACCAGGAGACATGAAGTTTGATCATGACAAATATTATACAGAGATCTGCGATCTGGCCCATCTTCATTTCTAAATAGTTGAGTGAATATTATGAAACACTTTAAGAATATGTAGGCAAGGTAGCAAAGGCTCATTAATAACATGGTAGGCTTCACTTTGACATTTTAATTGAAGAGATTCTAGGACAAAGAGAAAGGAAGAAGCAGCATCACCCCAAGAGAAGGGAGAACCAGAGTGGGCAGAATGGATATACAGGCTCTGTCCTGGGTTTTCAGAGCAAATGGTCAATGGGGAAGAGGAGAACCCGATGGTGGATTGCTGTGGTATTTGATGTGATGTAAGAAGAGGTTGAGACAGACCTGGATTCAAATCCAAGCCACTCCACTTAATAGCTGTGTGACTTTGAGAATCACTGAGCTCTTATAAAGCTCCACATTTTCATGTATCAAATTGAAATAATAACATCTATGTCATAAGTGTCATAAAATAGCACGCATTTAGAAATAGTTGAACGATAAGGCATTAATTTCCTTCCATTTCTGAAAGGCAAAATATTTGTCCAAAAGTATATTTCAGCATGTTTTATTATATATCTATAATGATGCAGTTAAAGGCATACTGAACACCACAAGTAAATGGAATTAATTCACAAAAAGAAATATTTTCACAAGCATGCATATGTATCTACTTATATATATACCTTCATTAATCAATATACCTGCACTTATACTCCTGTAGAGTTTTATTCTAGAACCTCCTGTCAGATTTGCATTTCACAAAACATTTATCCTGGAGACAACCCAATAACAGTTTTACATTTATATCTGTACACACATACACACATACTTGGAATATGCCCAAAATCAATAGGCAGAAAATATATATAGACAATAAACAGAATATATATATTTTCCAATATGTATATATATTGGGAGAAAATTACCAAATTAGAATTTTTTAATTTGGGCAATTAATTCACTACTACACTACTTAAAAATAATTAGTTTGAAGCAACATTTCTACAGTTGTTAAGTTTTAACGGCTAGGTTCTGTCCCTGTTGAAGCTGTTTGGGGTATGATAATGGTTGTTAAAATGCTAACCATTATATGCTAACTAACAATGCTATTAATATTACTACTAATAATAATAATGCATCAACTATCCTTTGAAATGGGCATTATGTAGAATGTTGTTTGTAGACTGCCTTATTTCTCTCTGTGTAGAATGGGGTTTATCATCCTCATTTTACTGAGGAACCTGAGGCTTAACAAGATTAAGTGATGTCAACAGAGTCACACATCTAGTTAGCAGCAGAGACTGGACTGAAATGCAGGTCTGACTCCCAAATCCACGCCTGCTTCTCTTTGCTGCTGCTTCTTAGAACATGAGTGGCATGTCATAACTTCAACATAGTGATTACTTCTTCAGCTTCCTCAGTTGCTAATATTGCTTGTACATAAAGAATAATATGATGTGTTGTGGAAGACTCTTTAGTTAAATGTGCTGTGAAATGTATTATTGCTTATAATGTTGTCTATAATGACCAGAGTAACTCAAGCTCAAAAAAGGCTGCCCAGGTAGAGGCCTTGCCTACTAACTAAAAAATCCAAGTATCTTATTACCTATACCAGTGGAAATAATTATTCCACTTGGACTTCACTGGGTACCTTTCCCTTGAAAAAGTTTTGCTGACTTTTGTCACTACTATTGTTTGGGTGTCTATAAAATAGATAAATCAAACAAAGTCTTTATGACATAATCAATACAAAAGATTTTGAAGAATTGATTTAGTTCTTCTGGATTTATATAGATACTCCCCAAAGCATCATAAATAATTTAATTATATATTCGCTGAACCACAGGAGGAGATTCATGTACCTCCAAACATTGGGGTTTCTGATGGCCCAGCCCTCAAAGGCTCCGAAGAGGAATCTAAAGACCTTATCCAGACAGAACCTTCTGCAATGCTGGAAATGTGATAGCCATACGAGGCTATTCAGCACTTGTGATATGGCCACTTAATAAGGAATGGCCATTTTTAATTACTTCATTTCAAAGAGTTTAAATTTAAATAGCCATCTGTGGCATGGCCACTTTCATCTCTGATAGAAATTAATATTTGCCTCACCAGGCAAAGATTTCATTCAAGGACATTCAACATGAGACCATATTAGAAACACACCCCCAAATTTTAGTAGTGATGCTAATTCAAAGCAAAGTTAACTTAAAGAAATGAAACATTTGAATGAGATCAAAATGCAAATCATCATTTTAAATGATCCAAAGAGACAGCCGATAAGGAAATAGTGACAGCATAGGTAGCAATCACACTTGGAAAACCTGTCCTTGGCCATGCAGAAGTGTATGTGTGAAGGCAAGGAGTGGTAGTGAAAACCTCAATTAATGAAAATAACTAGACTATTCTGGTATAAGGGAACATTATTACTATATCTTATTTAATGCCAAGTATATCAAATTTTCTTAAAATTCTAAACTTTGGTAACAGAGACAAAGAAATTATTTCCTGAAATGAAGCTGTCTGGTTAAAAAGAAACGAGCTAAAGTGCAGACCAGGCAATTGGAGAACAAATGTGCCTTTCCAAAGGGGAAATTCCATACACTGTTCTCTGAGGGAGGGAATCTGAGAAGTCCAGTTTATAGTATGTGCTACAAAGTAAATAATGAAACATAAATCGCCCCTTATTCATCATTGCTCTAAACACTTAGTCTCAGTGTGTTTCAGTCTTCAGTGTTTTCATTTTAACAGCTCTGCTCCCTCAATGCAGCTTGCCACTCGGTGCATGTACGCTTCTCCTCATCCAAGTCTACACTGCAACTACATGTCTACATAAAAACAAATTTGCTTATTGCCTCACTATGAGCACAGTTTGATTTATCCCCATGAGGTACAATTTTCCTCTTAGGTTACTTCTTTAGCTAGAATGCTGTTGTTTTAAAGAAAAAAACTTCTTTCTGTATGGGATAAACCAAGAGTACCTGTTCACTACTAACATATTAGATATTCGGATGCTTACGGTTTTGCACTGAGTGCAAAACAGAAGAGGGTATGGGGTGTACCCCAACTGCTTACTGAATTTTTCTTTATACAAACAAGGTTTCTGTTGCAAGTATAAAAAAGCCTTACCTAATTTAGATAGCTTAATTTAGACCTGGCTACTGTAATGCCTTCTCGACACTCTTTTTTAAGAATGAGTGCAACTCAAGCTCTGGTTTTTATTTCTGCATTCAGTATCTGTCATGTTGCCAGGTACCTTACCATTGTTGACTTGGCTATTGCATGTTAATGGCAAGTGTGGAGATGTCAGATAAGCAGGGGACTTGATGGTGCTTGGGACTTGGCTCCTTGGTGGCCACTAGGACCTGTTTCTAGTTGGATGGGTAATATTAATGGGGGCAGCATGACTTTACTGAAATGAGTAAGGCCTGCTGCCTTCCTCACCTGGACTGGACAGAACCAGAAGATGCTTTTTGACTTATCTTCTGGTCAGGTGCTCTCCTCGTAAAGAATGTCACTGTATAGTGATAGGCAGCCCTGAGATAGCTTTGTCCTAAACTACTATCCAACTGCTAAGCTAATGTCCCCAGGCAGTGCAGAGAAACTCCTAAAGTTCCTGGGCTGTTTAGAGTTAGTTTACTCTGGAAAGTCAGCAGCAACTTGGTGGATGGCTTGGGACATACTTCCTCCTTTGATGTGGGAACATGTGACTGAGTAATCGACCCTGAAATAGAGGCTGGACATAGACACTTCATAAAAGACTAGTTTAAATCAATGAGCATGTTGTATGGTGAAGCACATTTTAGATGAACAATTTGAACCTAAAATAGAAAATTTTAAACAAGGTGTGTTACATATGAGTTATAGCCTCATGCTGTTTTGCTTTACTACCACTTTTGCATCTATAGTAAGGAAACTATATAAATAACTTGTGCTGTTCTCAGCA